TGGGGCGCCGACAAAGCAGCCGCGCGGGGCAAGGCAGCGGTGCCGGCCGGCACAGCCGCGCTGGCCGAAACAGCCGCGCTGGCGACCGTGGAGCACCTCTGCCCAGGAATTTCCTAGTCTGTGGGCAATAAAAACGCGGCGTCCACTCACCCTCTGCGCTTTCACTGGGAGCTGCAATCCTGAGCTGTTCCTAAACGGCCATCTTGGATCCTCCCGGAAGTCGATCTTTATTTTTTTAAGTGTTTTTTAAGGTATGTATTTCACCTTGACTAGATCCCTGGCACGTGAGGGTATTTTTTTTCCCCTTTTTCTCTCTTTTTTTCAATCCCTCTTCCCCCACAACTGCAACAGTGTTGGAGCCCTGGAAGGCTCTGCCTATTCACCCACAAGGATCTGAGTGAATCCTATCTGTCCTTAAAGGGCCAGCTCAGGGCACTGCTCCAGCAACCTTTGTGCTACTCTAAGTCCAAGCATATCTCTTGCCCCTCCTCTACTCTGTAGGTCTGGAATTTATCTAGCACTTAGCATACAATCTTTTCAATATTGACTTTGTATATGTTTGTCTTTCTCTAAGCTGGATGGATCTTTAAGGAAAACACTGGTGTTCATCATCTCCCTATATATCACCTTAAGAGGCAGTCACCCCAAATCTCTACATTCATCACAGAAACAGAAATTCCACTAATAAATGTCAGGGACTGCCTCCTTAACCTTGGTGCTCTCTTTCCCTCCCACTTTCAGCACTCTGGCTTATTCCATGGGTGGAGGAGGAAGCAAGGTTGGCTGGGTGGGAAGGGAATGGCATCAGTGTGAGGTCATGCCACATCATCCAGAATGCCAGCTCCACACCAAGGTGACACAAACACAGGATTGAGCGATGCAGCTGGAGGAAAGAGAAAGACCCACGTGGCCAGACTACAAACAAAAGCGGGGCAGGTGCGAATACAAAGCCAGGACCTGGAGGGAAATGCAGGTACACCTGGGTGCACATCACCGGTGACTGCAGAGAGCGAAGGCAGGGAGAGAGGAGCCATGCCCCACGAGGGATTTTTTAAAGTCCTACTTTAAGAACAAGGAAGCAGGCCTAGAGAGAGGAAGTAACTTTTTCAGTCACAAAAAGAGTCAGTGGCAAGAGGAAGAACTAAGATATTTTCAGGCCCTAATGTACTTGCCATTGTGTCACACTTGCCGTACAAGTTGTCTCAACTCAGAATACCTTAACAATGCACTATTCTCTCCATAGTGCTATGAAGAAATGGAAGCTCAGGAAGGTGGATAAACTTTCCCAAAGCCACACAGCTCAAAACGTGTTTTGACCCCTCGGTTGTGTCCAAAGCCAGTAGTGCTTTGCAACGCAGCCTCCCAGTTCTTCTAGCTTATAGTAAGTGCTGCTCTTTTCAGTTCTTTTTAAAAGTTTACTTGTTCTTTCATTAATTCATTCTCTTAACAAACATTTATTGATTACTTTTTCTGTATCAGTCACAATATTAAGTGCTGGATGAAAATATGGGCAAAAATAAATGAAGCAGTGTCGCTGTCTGGGGTAAATACCCAAGGTTCATCATCTCACACCAGGGAAATTGAGGGTGTGGACACACAAGAAGTGAGTTTAAGAGCAGAGGTTTAATAGGCAAAAGAAAGAGAAAAGAGAAGAACTCTCTCTCCTGCAGAGAAAGAGAGGGGAACACCTATGGGTCTTCCAGTTCCATGGTGAAATGCACAGGGTTTTATGAATGAGCTTGAGGAGGTGGTATCTGATTCACATAGGTCCAGAGAGGTTGGTCAGAGCAGGTGTGATGTTTGCATAGTCGGTGAAGAAGCTGTCCATCCCACCCTGATCATTTAGTATGTAGATGGGTTCTCTACCTGGCCAGCGCCATATTGTCTGTTCCTTACTGTACAAAGAGAAAGATGGAGCCACAATGTTGAACATGCCTAGTCCCAGGTGGACTTTTCCTGTTGGCATAGCTGCTGGCATTCACCTGTGCAAGATTCTAGCTTGCTTTTTCAGGCTGCTCTTTGTTAGAAATGATTTGGGGGCTGCTTTTTGTTGAAAGGAAAGGCTTACCAGGGACTCTTTTACCTGCACTGTCTGCCTAAATAATTTCTATTTAGATCCTGCATTACAAGTGGTCCTTACTTCCCAGGGTCCCTTCCCTAGTATGAATATTAGAACTAAGAATACAAGTAAATGCTATCAACTATTTTATATGCTATAATAGATTTGCTTGTTTTTTCAAACATTTTGTTTTATTTTATTTCCTTATTTTGGGGGGACAGGTTCTTGCTCTGTCATCCAGGCTGGAATGCAGTGGTGTGATCATGGCTCACTGCAGCCATAACCTCCTGAGCTCAAGTGATCGTCCCACCCCAGTCTCTTGAGTAGCCAGGACTATACAGTCATGCTCAGTTAATTTATTTTTATGTTTATTTTTAGTAGACACAAGGTCTTGATATGTTGCTCAGGCTGGTCTTGAACTCCTGGGCTCAAATGATCCTCCCACCTCAGCCTCACAAAGTGTTGTGATTATAGGCATGAGCCACTATACCTGGCCAGATATTTTACTTTTAAACACATGCCAAAGTTTAAGTTCAAGCAAGTCACAAGAACAGAAGCATTAGTGGGTTAATTCAGAGATTGTATATATATAATTTCTATATTCTATATTAATTTCTATATTCCAATATATAATTTCCATATTCTCCTATAGAAAATTTTTATAGAAAAACAGGATGATTAGGTAATCACTGTTAGACTGGATACAATTTTTTTAAAAAAGGATTGTTTCAAGATCATTAGATCCTGACTGACAGTCAGCTGAGCGGGTGGGTATCTGGCTTCCCAGAAGAGGTCTTAATCTCATTAAAGATTATCAGAAAATTGCTTAAGTATTTTATCAATGCTAATTTCTTCCCAGAAAGAGGTTGAAAATTACATCATGCAAAAAGGTTCTGTCCCATTCCAAGTTTGGGCCTCTTTTGTTGTTGTTAAGTATGGGCACGTAATACAGTGGAGCAGAAGAGTGATCAGGTCAATTCCACCGTGAGGACAACAGTTAGTGATAATTGCTAGTTAGTAATAACTAGCATCATTTGAGTGTTAGATGGCTGGCACTGTTCCTTTCACTTGACAGATATTAACTCATTAGTGCTCACATAGTGCTATGAGGTAGGGGCTTTTTTTTTTTAATCCCCTCTCCTATAGTGGAGGAAAGTGAGGCACAGAAAGTTTAACTAATTTTCTCAAGACCTCCCAGCTAGGATCTAGTAGAGAGATCAGGAAGGTATCACAAGGAAGGTGGGAGAATCTGTTCCCCAAGGGGATGATGGGGAGGAAAATATTCTGGGAAGACTGGACCTCCAACCCCATTCTATGCTATAAAGCTATGCTTGTTTTCAGAGATGTTGGGGGTTCCGGATCAGTGGAACAACTTGTCCCCCACATATGTCACTGGGGAAATCCATTTGGGCTTGTGCCTGGGTTTTAGAGTGTGGCCGACTCCAGTCCCAGCTGTGTTTCTAGACTACGTGTTCTGGTTTGGACAAAGTGGAGACTCCCCTCCACCTAACAGCTTTCAGACATATGAGCAAAACTTCCAGCCAAGGCAAAAACACAGTAGCTCTGCCAGCCATGCACAGGTGGCTGGAGGGGTTTCCAGGGTAATTTTTGCTCTAGCCTTAGTGTTCCATCTCATTTTGTTTGCTTCTTCCTTTATTTGACATGTTTCTGCATTGCCTTTAAACTCCACAGCAGAGGGAGTGTTAAAAGTGGTGGCAAGAAGAGTCTTGCTGTTGTGTAAATAAAAGTAAAGATGATAAAGTTTTACAGGGCTGTGTACAAATTGATAGTTGGTGCAGTGTTACTTCAGGCACAGGAAGAGCCTGCAGAATCTAACCTGTTAGAAATTGCAAGAGCTCCTGTGTGAAAATTTAAAGACAACATTTAAAAAATAATATTTCTTATGTCACCTATAAAATTCCACTAAACCCAATCCAACTATTATATTATTTTAACTTATTATCTCTTCTAAATGTAATACATGCTGGGAGTGTTGTCTGTGGGGTATGCCCACTATTTTGTATTCTGCTTATTTTCCATGACCAGTGGATCATAAACATTTTTCATGTTTCTGCATAATTATCATTTTAATGGTCACATAATATTCCATTGTGCAGAGGTACTGTAATTTATTAAACCATTCCCCTTAATGTTGGCCATTTATGTGTTTTCAGTTTGGGGCTTTTATAGATAACACTGCGGTGAGCATCTTCTTCCAAATAGCTTTTTGCTGCTGTTGAATTTCCATAGGAATAATTTCTAATAGAGGCATTACTAGTAAAGGACACAGACATGTATATGGCTCTTTCTCTTTATTGCTGAATTGCTTTGCAAAAATATTATTTAATACAGTGTCATCACTCAGGAATGAATCTACTAGCTTTTTCTCAACTTCAGTAGCAGTTAGCAAAAGTTTTTTTCTAATTTGACAGATAACAGTATTTCAGCTTGCTTTAATTTACATGCCTTTGTTTACTAGTGAAGATTATTATTTCTCCATGTATTTGTTTATATGGTATATAATATTCTATGAATTTTCTGTTTGTTTATTGTGGTCTTGGTATTCTTATAAATTTAAATGCACTCTTTGTAGGTGATCTTATAAATTTAAATGTACTCTTGACAGGTGATAGCTATAATCTGTTTTGTTTATTCAAATATTTTGTTGTCCTTTTTAATTTTTATTTTTATTGTAGAAAGCTTTATATTGTTATGTATGGGAATTGTCAATCTCTCAATCTGTGAGTACTTCTTATTTTTATGAAGAAGAAACAGTAATTTTTTAATGTATCTTTTGTTTTATATGCCTTTCATTTAATCATTTATTCAACATAGAGTTACCAGGTACCTTTTGTGGGCCAGATATTCTTCTAGGTTCTGAGAATCTAAAATTTTCATCTTCGAGGAGGTTACATTTTATCGAGAAGAGAGACAATGAGCAAAAACATAACTAATATTCAAGGCAGCAATAAATCTTATGAAGAAAAAAAGCATAGCCAGAGTACAAACAATGACCAGGGAAAGATTCAGTGTTCAGGAAAATCCACTGACAAAGTGACATTTGAGATAGAGAAGACAGGACCACTATCGAAAGGTATGATTCAAGCAGACCTGGATGAGATGACAGAGGGAACAGAAAGTGCAAAGGTCCTAAGATGGGAACATACGTGGCATGCTGAGTGTATTAGTTTGTTCTCACACTGCTATAAAGAACTACCTGAGACTGGGTAATTAGTAAAGAAAAGAGGTTGAATTGACTCACAGTTTGCATGGCTGAGGAGGCCTCATGAAACTTACAATCATGGTGGAAGGCACCTGTTTTAGTCTGTTCTCATGCTGCTAATAAAGATATACCTGAGACTGGGTAATTTATAAAGGAAAGAGGTTTAATGGACTGCAGTTCCACATGGCTGGGGAGATGTCACAATCATGGCAGAAAGTGAAGGAGGAGCAAAGTCACGTCTTACATGGTGGCAGGCAAGAGAGCTTGTGCAGGGGAACTCCCATTTATAAAACCATCAGATCTCATGAGACTTATTCACTACCACAAAAATAGTATGGGGGAAACCACCCCATGATTCAGTTATCTCCACCTGGTCCCACCCTTGACACATGGGGATTGTTACAACTCAAGGGGAGATTTAGGTGAGGACACAACCAAACCATTTCAGCACCTCTTCACAGGTCAGCAGGAGAGAGAATGAATGCAGGAGAAACTATCAAACACTTATAAAACCATCAGATCTCAGATCTTGTGAGAACTCACTATCATGAGAACAACAAGAGGGAAACCACCCCTATAATCCAGTTACCTGCACCAGGTCTCTCTCTTGACATGTGGGGATTACAGGGATTAAATTCAAGGTGAGATTTGGGTGGGGACACAAAGCCTAACCATATCACTGACAAACAGGGAAAGCCATGTGTTTGGAGTGGAGCAGAAGTGGTAGAGAATGGAAGAAAACAAGGTTGTTACCAGATGGTATGGGACCAAACATACTGGATTTAATCTGAGGGAGATGGGAAGCTACTAAGTTGAGAGGGCTTGAAACAGACATCCTACTTACAGTTTAACAGGATCACTAGATATTTTTATATTTGAATCATTTTGGCTGATTTAACTTTCCAGATATGTAATCACATCATATACAGGAGATGTTTTTGTCTTCTTTTTCAACATTTATTTTTCTTGTGCTGTCTTTATCTTTTTTTGTTGATGTTGTTTTTAAAAACTTTCAAGACAATGTTAAATAATTATATTTTTATTAATGATTTCAATGACAATGATAATAGTAGGTATCTTTGTATATTCTGAATTTAGA